AGTTTGAAATCACCAGCCACTGTGTGAGAAAGAGGGGGCTTTCTGTTCCCTTGAAGAGTTACAGCCTTGGATACTCACCAGGGTGGTTCTGCCCTGTGCTGTACAGGGTTGTAGGAGTTGGCATTGACCTGATGGCAGTGAGGGAGATTCTCCCCACAGAAGATCCCGTTGTGGAAATGACCATGTTAGGTTAGAGCTTATCATGGGACAGTCCTGGCCCACCCAAGTTGACATAAAACATAATGATCACAATACGGTCCTATGATTTTGTAGCAATACTTTTTTACTATTTAATGGTATTGGTTTACTTTGGGGGCGGGGGGGGGGCTTGTTTTCTACTAGTGAACCCAAACCTTCTTGTCTCTGTAGGTTTGTTTTAGAATATTGTTTTATTACTGTGGTGCCTGATGCATATTTAAAGTGTGTCTGAGCATTTCCCCCACTTTATATTTTCTGTGTAATTTCACACATATTTTAATTACAAGTATCTTAAGCTACCTCTATTTTAAGAAATCAGAAGTTATGGAATTGGAGAATGTTTCATTGTGTATATTTTTGCCACAATTAGAAAAAAATACATGAATAACAATGAGTACAAGGAAGAAGAAAATGTTCTAGAACTGAGTATGGTGATAATTGTACAAACTCTTCTCGATTATGATTGGATTACTGAATTGTATGACATGTGGATGAAGTGTTCATAAAACTGTTAAAAAGAAATCACATGAAGGCTGTTCTCACAGTTTGTTTTGGCAGTGCTGGTCTTGTCTCTCATTTTGCCAAAGAGCAGCCAGTACATCAAATGGATTGTGTCTGCTGGGCTGGCCCAAGTCAGTGAGTTTTCATTCGTCCTGGGAAGCAGGGCACGAAGAGCGGGCATCATTTCTCGGGAGGTAAGCCTCTACATATTTGATCACGGTTTTACTACTGCTTCACTTCATTGTGTTGTGTCTGCAAATGTTTTATAAGAAATGCCTGATTCCCCTCACCATAGGCCCATAGCTTAAGTCGGTATTCCAGAAGAATTCAGGACCAGAGGGGTGAATAACTTGATTAGATGGTCATTCAGCAAGAGAATTGGGATACTGAAATTCAAAGTGACTTCTCTTACTGAGCTAGCATGTAGGATGGGCCTTGTTGCCTTTTCATATAGGATGGCTTTTAGTTACAGTAGACGTTTTTAGCTTAACGTTACCAGCTAATATTGTTCTGTTATCTTCATCACTTGCAAGATTTATAATTATTTCCTGTACACTTTTTAAAACATTAGACCACCTGTTTATACATTTCTTATAACAGATAAGAAATGCAAGTGTGCCTTTAAACAAAACTTAATAGGAATCTCATTTATGTGATTCCTGTATAAACCCGACCTGGAGGGGGTCTAGCATCTTTTCTGGGCCTGTCCTTTAGCAAGAATATCTATGAGAGATGTAATTTAAACTTTCAGTTCTAAAAATACTGACCATATTAAGAACAAAAAGATGGGAATGTTAGTCCTTAAACGCCAGTGGTATCTCTGTTTGCAAAACACATCGTAGCATCGCCTCACTTTTAAAGGTTGAGCCAGAATTGTTAAACGTGCTTCTAAAAACACTATCTCCAAATTTTAGGTCATTGGGATTAAAACCGTAATACAGGTAGATGATAAAGCTTCCTATCTAGAAATTATGGAGAAAGGCCAGCTTTCTACTCAGGTGAAGACTTACTGGCTCAGAAACTCACAGGGGCAGTTCTGCCCGGCCCGGCAGGGTGTCTATGAGTCGGCTTCGACTCTGATGCCAGTGAGATATAGAACAGATAGAGAATGTTTTCCAGTTAATAATGTTTGGGGCATTTTTTGATCAGCACTCTCCTATCCTCTTTCCCTCTTAAGTAGGTGAGTTACAGTTTCATCTTTAGACTTTATTAGACAGTGGCTGGCGGTTTCCTACTGGTGGCACATTGAGTTGTGCACCTGTAGATCCCTCCACGGACTGCATTGCATGAAACGAATTGCCCTTCTCATTTGCCATCTTCCTTTTTGTTATCGGGCCTTGTGCATCCTCTAATGTGTGTGTGTGTGTGAATTCACTTCCAAGACCATCTGCTCTTTTGAGGGGATCTCATTCATATTTACTGGAGGTCTTACTCTCACTTTTGTTTTCTCTCCTTGATCATTTTCGGTTGTTTCCCCACTGGATCTTAATTACAACTTGATGAATGTCACTTGATGATCGATGGGTAGCATTGTTGAATTGCCAAGAAGATGGTCGGTAGGAACCCGGGGAAGATGTCTGATTAGAGGTGCTGGGGTGCTCAGAAGCTGCCTCCCCAGAGCTCTCGGATTCTGTTTGTCTCATGCCTCATCTCTCCATGCCTCCTCTGCCTTATCCCCCAGCCCAGGATAATAGGTACTGCTTTCTGTCAGAGCCTTGCCTGTACACTTAAAGTCACTGGGGTTTCTATCCAGCTTGTGTGCTGAGGAGACTCATGTTGACCTGAGCTCCAAGTCTGAACTCAGTAGACGGGCCCATGGGTTGTCAACACTGAAGGGGACAGGGAGTGGAAATCCTGTAATCTGAAAAGTGGCACAGACACTCGAGACAAGTGGGGCGAGAGGTGTAACATTCTAGTCCCCCAGTCTAGAAATGGAGTAAGAACCAACAAGAGTTTGATAGAAGGCCAAGGATCAGCATTCCCCAATGAAGGTGGTTCATAAGAAAAAAGAGTGAGGACATGACTGTAATTCATCAGCTGTTACGTGCAGGCTATGTAAAGTGGAGGCAGAGCATTTCCCCCAAATCAAAATTCAAACTATAACTAATCAAGCCTCAACTTGCTATTTTTTTCAAATCATTTTATTGGGGGCTTGTACAGCTCATCACAATCCATCCATCCATCCATTGTGTCAAGCACATCTGTACTTTTGTTGCCATCATCATTCTCAAAACATTTTCTTTCTACTTGAGCCCTTAATATGAGCTCCTCATTTTTCTCTTCCCTCCTTGATCCCCCTCCCTCGTGAACCCTTGATAATTTACCAATTATTATTATTTTGTCATATCTTACACTGTCAGACGTCTCCCTTCACCTACTTTTCTGTTGTCCATCCCCCATGGAGGAGGTTATATGTAGATCCTTGTGATCGGTTCCCCCTTCCTATCTCACCTTCCCTCCACTCTCCCAGTATTGCCACTCTCACCACTGGTCCTGAAGGGATCATCTGTCCTGGATTACCTGTGTTTCCAGTATCTGTACCGGTGCACATGCTCTGCTCTAGCCAGATTTGTAAGGTAGAATTGGGATCAGGATAGTGTGTGTGTGTGTGGGGGGGGAGACAAGCCAGTCAGGGTGTAGTGTAGCAACGATGAAACATACAACTTTCCTCTAGTTCTTTAATGCTCCTGCCCCCCACTATCATGATCCTGATTCTACCTTACAAATCCGGCTAGACCAGAGGATGTATAGGAACTGGAAACAGGGAATCCAGGACAGATGATCCCTTCAGGACCAGTGGTGAGAGTGGTGATACCAGGAGGGTGGAGGGAGGGTGGGGTGGAAAGGGGGAACCGATTACAAGGATCTACATATAACCTCCTCCCTGGGGGACGGACAACAGAAAAGTGGGTGAAGGGAGACGTCGGACAGTGTAAGACATGACAAGATAATAATAATTTATAAATTATCAAGGGTTTGTGAGGGGTGGGGGAGGGAGGGGAAAAATGAGGAGCTGATACCAAGGGCTCAAGTAGAAAGAAAATTTTTGAGAATGATGAGGGCAACAAATGTGCTTGACACAGTGGATGGGTGGATGGATGGATTGTGATAAGAGTTGTACAAGTCCCCAATAAAATGAATTAAAAAAAGGAAAGAAAACGAGTGATTCAAATTACAAGCATCTAGCTAAGACGGGCAGGAGTTGAGAACTAGTTAAACATTTGTTTAAATAGTCTAGAAACACTCAACCAACCTCCTGTGCTGCTGAAAAAACATGTGAGTTTTCTTAGTGAATCAGGCCATTTCAATCATTGTACAGTGGTAAATATGGAAATGGCACCTACCAGAAAAACCAAACACAGCCATCAAGTCAATTCTGATTCATAGTAACCCAACAAGACAGAGTAGAACTGCCCCTTAGGGTTTCCTAAACTGCAACTCTTTATGGGTATAGAAAGCCTCATCTTTCTTTCGAGGAGCTATTGGTGGTTTTGAACTGCTGACCTTGTGGTTAGTAGCCCAGTGCTTACCCCCACTGTACCACCAAGGCTCCTGGAAAGGGCACCAAGAGCTTATGAAAATGAGGCACAGTGTATCCTGATGACCCCGTTTCTTACAGGCAGTGGGAAGGTGTCTGCCAACAAATGCACCCAAAACACTTTTTATAGAGACAGTGATCTTAAACATAAAACATTAGGTGGTCACTAGGTGGTCAAAATGCATTTTGTAAGAACTATACAAGCTACTGATAGTTATCTGCCACAAATTATCCATCTGGATAGGTTGATTTGTGGGGGTTGTATAATTTGAAAGTTTTAAGTACCTAGGAAAAGTAAGAGCCGTAGAAGTTTATGTATAAACTTGTAGCACATACAAAGTTTTATTGGCCTTTATCTTATGAAAATAGGCCCTTTTAGTATGAATTTGCTGACTGGAAGACCATGGGCCATATACTTCATACTGTCATCTAGTTTTAAAGTTCAAAATCCTTTGTTTTAAAGTTTGTCCTCATATTAAATTACAAGTGTATGTATATTATTTGGCTGTAAACTATATCTCAATGTAAATTCTAGTGTAAGAAGTTTGCTATTATAATGGGAAGGATTTTTAAAAATCATTTTATTGGGGGCTCTTACAACTCTTGTTACAAATCATACATCAATTGTATCCGACATATTCATACATATATTCCATAATTCTTTTCTAGACATTTACTTTCCATTGAGCCTTTGGGATCAGCTCCTCTTTCTCCCCCACCCCCACCCCATACCCTCATGGCCCCCTAATAGATTGTAGATTGTTAATTATTTTCAAGTTTGGGAAGGATTTTAGATGCTAAAATACTTCCCATTTTTAAGAGATGTGAAATGAATTACAGGATTGTTTTCTTTCTTTTTATTGTTTTATTAGGGGCTCATACAACTCTTATCACAATCCATACATACATCAATTGTATGAAGCACATTGGTACATTCATTGCCCTCATCATTCTCAAAATATTTGTTCTCTACTTAAGGCCCCGGCATCAGGTCCTCATTTTTTCCCCTCCAGCTCCCCCCTCCCTCATGA